GGGCGTAGCCACGCCCACTTATGGTTACATGTGTATATCTTGGTAACCGCTGCACCAATTTCTTCCAAACTTGGCACAGTTGTTGGCCTTGGTACAGCATAAAAAATCGCCGAAACTTTAAAATCGGACAATAACCACATCCCATGTAACGGTAATTTAGAGAAATACAAAATCTTCGATAAATCAGTAAATATTAAAGCTAATTTATTCAAAATTGATGCTTGCAACAATTCTTTACCAAGAAATACGTTTATGGTAAAATTTTGGAAAATGGGCGTGGCACCGCCCACTTATGATCACATATTAGTATATCGGTAACCGTTCTACCAATTTGTACCAAACTCGGTGTGGTTATTGTGCTGGTGAAAAAACATATATTTAATACTTGCGCCGGGTATTTAATGTTCGGCTCCGCCCGAACTTAGACTTTCTTACTTGTTTACCTTCCTCTTATTAGCTCGGGTGTAACTATGTAGTATTGATGCGCCTAAAAGATGCAGCGTTTTCTATTCTCAAGTTACATACATACCTGATGACAGTGCGAATGGCAATTATAATAGGGAGGTTTTAGTTATTTAAACTACAATTTTTTTATTTGAACTTCAAAAGCGTACGAACGTACGTTTCGCGACCACTGGAAATGCCTATATACATTTACTTTATTTTATGTCGTCCTACTTTCCTGAAGTATGTACTGCATTAATGTTATTTGTTCCAATTCTTATGCGTACAGCTGAACGATCATTTTCGAAACTAAAATTAATAAAAACTTACATATTTGAGAAACTATGGGACAATACAGGCTACGTAACTTAGCTGTTCTGTCTATTGAAAATTCTATGGCTCTATCCTCAAACTTTGAAGATGTTATAGATTCTTTTGCGGAATAGAAAGCTCGGTGAAAAGGAATTTTATTAATAAATATCTTATCAAAATTAAATTGTTATTTCATTATAAACTTGTATGTATAAACCCATGTTCTTGAAAAAAAATCTATTAGATATTTAACTAAATGCACACATTATTGCTAATAATATTGGATAACTACTTAAGTGGTTTATAAAAATTAAATTACAACGTGACGATTTTCGCTGGGAGGGCCCCATCCAAAGAATTTGACACGGGCCTCACATGATATAGTTACGCCACTGGTTACGATTCGAGCCATGTTTTTTGTATACCTCATTTTTATACCTTTCATGAGCAAGAAATGGTATTATAACTTTGGTCCGATGTTTGTAAGTACCAGAATAAGAAGAGATAGACCCATTAAAATGTATACTTAAATGATCAGAACGTAGAGCTGAGTCGATTTAGCCATGTCCGTCTGTCCGTGTGTCCGTCTGTTTGTATGCAATCTAGTCTCTCAGTTTTCGAGATATACGGATAAACTTTATGTACGCAGGTATGAAAAAACTCGTAACTTCTACAGTTTTGGAGTTACCATTCTCAAATTTTTACAGCTTATTCCATAAAGTTTGACAACTATTCAGGTTGAAAAAAATAAATATCAAACATGATGAAGTTAATAAAAAAAAATAAAAAATAAAAAACGTGATTTTTTAATGCAAACATTTTTTTATTTTAATCTATCTCACACTCTCATGGAAAGCCGAGGTAATTACGCACAACTGCAAACAATTAATAAAAGATACTTCTCTGAGAGTTCAAAATTTCGGGAATTTTTTTCGAGATTTTCGAATATCTATCATGAAATAAGATAATAGGTGTCTTCTTTTTTTCGATAAAGAATGTAAAAAAATATATTTTGCCTCAAAAAAATATTGAGGTGTAAATATTGTTTCGAATGACCCATATGTATCTCCTCTATCTATGTATGCTGGGACTATATAAATTTTTTCATATGCAGTAATCTGTTAAAGTAAAATTTTCAGATGTTTATGAAAGGTATGGAGTAGAGATGGGCACGGGACTAAATATTTAATCCCGACCCCGCCCATCCCGAAATTCGATTTTTAAGTCCCGAACCTGCCCATCCCGATATTTTTCAGAATTGTACCGCGGGTCCCGTGGGTCCCGATATCTATCTCTAAAGCAGGCTACACACGGACAACAAATTGAAACGAGCGGTTGAGATTTCAACGTGTGTGGCGAGGTTTACAAACCGATCGAAGGTTCACAAAAATGTTCATGTCTTTCATATTAATTTTAAATAACAATGAAAGATCTGGCATCTTGCTATAATTATTTTCTTTTTCGCCTCAATAAAACATTAAAAGTGCATATTTCAAACATCGTTTTTAAGGAAGATTTTGTGAATTTGCGCAACCGCAACCGCAACCCCGGTTTTATCGGGAGTGTCGGGAAAGGATTTCGGTCCCGTCCCGCCCGCCATATTTTTACAAATCTTCCCGATACCGCCCATCCCGGCCAATTTTAAATCAGTACCGTGGGTCTCGCTATCCCGCGCCCATCTCTAGTATGAAGCCCTCGCGCGGGGAGCGAGTAAATTCACACTTTTGCGAATATCGGTTCCCTGAATCTGGCTTTTGACCAGTTTTATTATACAAACACTCCTAAATTTTCAGGGAAAATACATGTGCTTCTGAATTTAAACATTATTACATGTTTTTCTATGTTTGACTTCATTTCTGCTTTGTTTTTAATACATATGTACATATGAAGGTAAATTTTTTATTTTAATTTTTGTTAAAAAAATATGCTAAAAATGTGCTTATTAAACATATACATTTTACCTATGCTCAATTGTAAGAAAATTGGTTGAAATTTAAAATTTACTCAAAATCGCCTTAATTTCATTCTATTTAAATCGTTTTTAATAATTATTTAGTATTGATTCAACTTCATCGGTAGAACTGTTTTCTAATTCACTATAAAAATTGGATCTTTCATTGTTCAATTCTCATGTATATTTTTTCATTTGTAGACTTCCTACCACATTTTCCTGGCGCAGATTTGTATTGGGCGGATTACTGCAAATACTGTTGAAAGCTCAAAGTGCCAAATGAAATATTATTCGCCGATTTGTATAAAAATTGCAAATCATATTTATGTGTTTATTCAAGAGTTTTTTTCCTTACTATCGCTCTAGCAGTTTATTTGGAAAATCACAAGTTTTACAATTTAATCTTAAAAAGTATGTAAACTGTTAAAAGAACTTCATATTATTTATTGGCAGGTCATTCGATACCAAATTACCAATCACGTTCAATTTACGCCCAACAGACTAATAGTGAAACCAACAATAACAACACCGCACTTAACTCAACACCCAGCGCAGATAGATATGCGGCCCTCAAAGATCTAGACGAACAATTACGTGAAAGCAAGGCAGCTGCAAAAGTTGTAACGGCATATCGCATGGAAATGTTTGGCAAGAGTAAGTAATACATCTTATAGAATAGGCAGACGGCAACGTTGATCCGGTGCGTCTGAACCAAGATTAAATGAAACGTTGTCGGACATTGGAAAATCTTGCAACTTTTAAAAGTATATAAGGAGTCTTCCCTTAAACTCGCAAAAGCCTCGTAAACCTCGTAAATTTACGAGCCTCGTATAAGAACTGTAAAAATTTGTATGCAGCTGTATTTACGAGCCCCTCGTAAATTTACGAGGCAGATTTAATGCGCAAACGACCTCGTTATCTTCAGTGTTGCCGAGGGGCCGAAGATTTTATGATAAAATACTGAAAACAAATGAAAAAATTAATAGGTGAATAAGATTAATAAATTCCATCCACGAACTGTATTTACTTGGGTTTTCTGCTAATTTACATTTTAGCATTTATTCGAGCTGACAGGCTGTTACGAAAAGTTCTACGAAGCTCGTAAATTTACGAGCGCCGTAAAATAACTGTCAAAATTTGTATGGAGCTTTATTTACGAGCCCCCCGTAAATTTACGAAGCAAATTTCATGCGCAAACGACCTCGTAGACTTCAGTATTGCCGAGGGGCCGAAATTTTTATACCAAAATGTATTATGAAATAATGAAAATAAATGAAAAAATAATACGCGAATAAAATAAAAGAATTTCATCCACTAACTGTATTGACTTAGGTTTTCTGCTAATTTTCGGCATTTTCAATTGTATTTGAGCCAAGATGGCGTTTTTCCGCAGCCTGGAAGGAGTCTTTCATAATACCACTTCACAAAAACGGCAGCAGGTCCTCTATAGAAAACTATCGAGGCATAGCGAAGCTCTCCGCTATCCCCAAAATATTCGAAGCAATTATTGTTAATCAGCTGACAGCCCAGCCCAGTCTTCTTCAATGGATCTCTTCTTACCTCTCTGATAGAACACAAAGAGTTATTGTTAATAATTGTTCTTCCAACATCATTAAAGTTTCTTCAGGAGTTCCTCAGGGAAGCCACCTTGGTCCGATTCTGTTCCTGATATTCATTAATGATATTTCTTCTATAATAAAACATTCAAAAATTTTAATGTATGCCGATGATGTGAAACTTTTTAAAACATTGTCCTCTATCGAGGAAAGGTCTTTGTTACAAGCGGACCTGAGCAACGTGGTTTGGTGGTGTAATGCAAACTTTATGCCACTAAACCTTCAAAAATGCAAAGTTATGTGTTTCTCTCGGAGGGCTGTGCAGCCAGCTGTTTATTCAATATCAAATTATAATCTGGAGCAGGTATCCAATTTTGTCGATCTTGGTATCACAATGGATTCCAAACTCAATTTCAACCATCATATTAATGTTACAGTCAATAAAGCCAAAGGCGTTTTTGCATTTGTAAGGCGATGGTCAAAAGAGTTCAAAGATCCTTATGTTACAAAAGCTCTTTTTACCAGTTTAGTTAGACCTATACTAGAATACGGATCTATTGTTTGGAATCCCCGCTACCAAGTTCATTCAGAAAGGATTGAATCAATTCAAAAACAATTCTTGCTTTTTGCATTGCGTAATTTTAACTGGGATTCAGATTACAATGTCCCCCCTTACATAAGTCGTCTAAATCTCATAAATTTGCCTACACTCGCAAGTCGTAGAGAAATGCTAGGTATAATATTTATCGTAAAATTAATGACAGGCTTGATTAATAGCCCGGCCCTCCTGGCTCAGCTAAATTTTAATGTTCTCTCGCGAGTGTCAAGACACTTTCGACCTCTATTTTTAAAGCCATGCAAAACTAATTTTGAACTAAACGAATCATTCCGTGGTTTATGTCAAGATTTTAACTCTCATTCCAGCACGTTTGACATATCGGACTCGATTTTTACTATAAAGAAAACTATTATTTCCACTCTCAATAATTGAAATACTATCTTTAGCATATCCAATCAGCTTTGAATTTGATTCTGTAGCTGAATAGTTCCAGATCTCGACACTCGGCACCAAAAAAAAAAAAAAAGTTCCGTACGTCATGCGGACTGCGCCCCTCGTGTCGGTTGGGCGGGAATGGAGGGTAAAAAGCCGTTGGGATTAAAAAAAAAGAGTGATAGAGACAAGATTGCGGGTTCAAGGATGCATTGTAACGTTAATTTTAGCGTTTACCACAAAAAGCAATCGTTTCTTTTGAAACGATTCAATTTTTTATCGTTAAGGTAATGACCAAAATAATTCTATTATGGTTTTTAACGAAAAGAAATTCGATCGTTAATGCTGAAGTTGTAGCATGCATTTAGGTGCTATGTGTTAATAGTGAGCTGGCAATGGCATACAACAACTTTTCGTTGATTTATTTTGTTTCCATGTTAACGATTGATGATTTATTTCGATTCCACGTTAACAATTGTGTTTTGTTTCGTTAATTTAGCTCTGAAATTAAACGGAATTATTTTGATAAGTTATTTTTGCGCATCAACAAAACGAAATCGATTCATATAGTTTGTTGAGCATCTCTGGGCGGGATGTTATGGAAAATACTACGAAACAAAAATTGCTTCACAAAATCCTGGTTTATCTGTCAAACAGTCACTTTACGCAGTTTTGAACAGTTTAAGACTTTACGAGATTAAGGTAATCCCCTAATTGTCTCTTGTTTCTAAACATTCAAAAATGAAAATCATACATACAGAACTTTTCGAGAAAAGTGTCTTTTAAAATTTTTATTTCAATTTCTTTTAATTATAGAATTTTAATTTTCACATAATATTGTATATGCAATAGGGTAGTTAAAGAAAAGGATAGTCGAAATTTTGATGCTCTCGCACCCTGGTTTTTTATTCTGAAATTAAAAAATGGTTAGAGGTCGCTCCAAGCGCTTAAAGTTTTCCATGTATTTTATATGGAAAAAACGATTTTTCAAATTCTTTAAAATCAATATTTTTATTGGAAAACTCTGTTTCTCTTCAGGAGACTACCGATAATAATAACCAATTAGGTATTTTATAGTATTAACTATTTTTTATAGATCCCCAAAAACACAAAAAATGCAATGGGTATTATTATCGAACATTCACTAAGGATGTGTTCTCGCGTTTCTTCGTCCATCTCATAGAAACAACAGACGCTCGTGTCTGAAATATTAGTTTTACAGAGGTGAACAATGTCCCGTGAGGTACCCAGTGAGAGTTCGAAGGTCCTCCCTGTCAGATTTATGGGGTTTTTTGAAGCTTCTTGTGATGGACAGATGAACCGCTTAGCTTATCTTTACCCTGGACCTTCACTCCTACGTAATGATTTGTCCACCCACTTATTTATGATCTCTCTTAAGTGAGCTTTGGTGAACCCACAAAAGGATTTCGGACAATGGAATATTGTGGCTCGGTGTTTTACTAGGCGGTCCGCCTGTTCATCGCCGTCGTGGCCCTCATGCCTCTGCACTCAGCCAGTAATACTGTGCTCTTGATTCCAAGAGCATTTAGGGTGCTGAGGCAGTCGTTCACTAGTTTTGATGATGTGTGGGACTTCAGCGCTAGCCCGACTCTCCGACATAATGCAGATGTTTTAGAAGATGTACCTCTTCTGAGGCATTCTCTGCTACATATCTCTATCGCAAGAATCTCCGCTTGGAAAATGGTGGGGCAGCTGCCCATTGGTATCGATATTTTAAAATTCAGCGCCTAAATATACCTGCTCCTGTATTTCCGACTTAAAGTTTTGATCCATCAGTGTACCTAATTTCATTTCCGGTTTTTAATTCGGAAGTATCTAGGATTCTAAGTGCCGAAAAGGTGGCCTCCCTCTCTTTGTGTCGCTTTACTCCACCATAGCAAGGATGCGTAGGTGACTGTCGGCGTCACAATCTTGATAGCCAGCAGGAAGCCGTTAAATTTTTCAAAAAAGTCGCGATCCAGCGAAGAAGGCTCTTATCGCCTTGTTGACGGTTGCATCCAAACGTGTGTTCCATGAGAGTGTGTTATTCAGCCTCACCCCCAGGTATTTTGCTTAATTTGAGAGATATATTCTAGTGCCGTCCAGAGTAAATTAAGTCATGGATAACATTTTTTTTTTCGGGTAAACGGACCCAGAGTAGTTTTAGTAGGATTAATGGATAATCCTTTGGTTCCACACCATCTTTGTGTAATGCGCAGGGCTTGTTGCATGTGGTTGGAGATCGTTTCGCCATGCAGCCCGGTTAGGCAGATCACCGGATCGTCTGCATAGCCTTGTGTTTCGAAGCCGTGGACGCTCAGTAGGAAGGGGAGTTCGTCTATAACCACAGTCCACAGTAGATGAGAGAATACACTACCTTATGGATGTAATAGATTCTTTCGTGCCTCCCTACTCCGTACTGATCTTCCTTTATTTTAGTATGGAAAGCTATTATTGCTGATGGGCTTACTCTCTTGCATATCAGGGTATCTCTTATTGCCCCGTATGACGTGTTGTCAAAAGCCCCTCAAAATGTCAATTAAGGCACAAAGGGCTATGTTCTCAGACTCCAGAACCTTTTCAATTTTCCTCGTAAGGCCATGAATGGCAGTCTCAGTGGATTTGCCTGGTTGATAGGCAAATTGGTTCTTATTCAGTGGTTGTTCCGTTTGGTTGACTTCTCTGATGTGTTGATCCAAGATTTTCTCCACGCTTTTAGGATGAAGGCTTCTGCTCAGGTCTACCTGCCTTCGGTTAAAATAAGACCTTAACCTCTGTCTATCTACTGGGAATAGCATAGAATAAATTAAAAAAAAAATTATGGAATACAAATTTTCCAAGTCAATTTTCTCGAAAAGCTCTGTAAGTATGATTTTAATTTTTGAGCTGTTAAAAACTAGGAACAATATACCTTTAAAATTTGTAAGATTGTCCAATGTCAGGCAACCTTTCATTGAACCTTGGTTCATACGCACCGTGGCATATTGAAACTTGTTTTTTGAGACGTACTGTATGTACTACTGTACTAATGTACTTTTATTTATTTTTCTTGCCTAAAAAGAACAAAAGAAATTTGTACGTACTTCACGTTACATACTTATACATTT